GTCTAAGGTATTCCTTGAGTTCTTTATATGACCATTTTTCTGATGACTCTAGGTCCTCCTGACTATTTAGGCTGTCCTGCGTTGTTTGTACTCCTTTTCTTCCTTGCTTTTTCATGCTGCTCATGTTACTTCTTGTTCTGTTTGACTGCTGAGTTACTGTTTACTCCTATAAATTTATTTGATGCTTGGGAGGAAAGGTATTAGAAGGGAAGGGAAGAAGTGAGTAAAGAGAATGAGAGTAAGCAGGTAGAATTCAAGGAAGGGGGAATAAGAAAATTGAAAAGAAATGAAAAGACAAAAGAAAAAAAATAGAAAATAAAAAAAGAAAAAAAATTAAAAAAAAATAAATTAAAATTAAAAAAGAAAATAAAAAAATTAAAAAACAACAAAAAAAATGAAAATGAAAAAAAACCGCAAATTAAAAAAAATTAATAAATGCAGTCTTAGAGTTTGATTAACTTCTCTTCCAGTAGGTGGAGCTGTGCCCTCTCAATACGCGGGAACCAATCACTGTGCAGCAGCTCCTCCTCCCAGACTGGGCGGGTCTCCAATCCTGAGTGCCTAGGGCGTTCTCTTGTGTCTAGTCACTTCCCCACTTTTCCTCAAGCCAGGCCCCGCTCACCAGTGACGCTCACCACAATACTGGCTACACGCCAGGTCTGCTGCTCCCAGGAGCCCTGTTTTCATGAACTACTGGGCACACTCTCCCTGTTTGCCATTCCCTCAGACCCTAAGTTTTTAGAGCTTGGGGCTGAGAACCCTCAGTGAATTTTGCTAGCCCTCCAGTAGCCACGCCCCCGGTAGCTGGTGCAAGAGACCTCAGTTGTCAGCACTGGTGGGAGCGGTAGCCGGGAGTTCCGCGCCGCGGGTCCCGCGCCACTCCTGATTCCCTTGGTCTGGCTATCGCGCTCACGGGAGAGCTGGGAGGGGCCCTTAAGGTTTCCCTGCTGTGTGGAGAGGGAAGGCTAGGAGATTACACACCTGTCGCCACTGGTTTCAATGAAGTTATCTCCTCCGCCGCATTCTGGTGACGTCAGTTCTCTGCCATGGTGGTATCCCATGCAAATGGTGACAGTTCGTTCCCTTTGCCGGGTGACCAATGCAACGGGTGGGTCCTGAGTGTCTCTCCCAAGCCCCATTTCAATCCTGTGGCCACTGCCTATGAAGGCTCGGTTGGCATTAACCTCCGTAGGATCAGAAGGTCCGACCAGTTGTTTCAGCGGGATTGTTTAGTGCTGAGTCACAGCAGTTTGTCTTCGAGAAGCAAGGGAACGGGAGCTTGAATTCAGCCAATCCAGGCTCAGTGTGTGTTCTGAGAGGCCCAGACTGTTCGCCTCAGATCCACGTCAGCTCAGCATTGCCTAGTGATCCTGAGCAAACAGCATTTAGACGGTTTACGACTCCCTATGCCCACGCAGCTGAAGAGGTCAGAGACTTGATCTCTCCGCGCCCGCCGCCATGTTGGATCAGGGATATAGAATTTTAATTTATTCTCAGTTATTATAATGAGCAGGTTATAAAGTATTTAGTTATTTGGGGGCATTTTCACATTCTGAAGAGTCACAGACAGCTGTTAGGATTTAAAATATATATGCATGCATTAAATAGCATAATTAATATGTTAAATAATATTTGGACTATTTTAGATTTTTTCTTTTTAAAGAATATTATTACTAAAGAGACCTGCAAGTTACAGATGTACCTCCTAAGGTACAAAAATAGATATTGTGAAGTAGAACCAAAAATACATCATAATAAAAATGGAGTACTGATATCATTTATGAGAAGAAGTTCAAGAGAAAGTGTAGAAATTCTAAAGTGGAGCTATTCGGAAGTCTACTGAATCTGGAACCACAAAAGTTGTCTAGGTAGGAGATTTAGGGAGGTTGTTGTTAGTAAGATTGCCCAAGTATGAAGAGGGAGAAGATGCCCGAAGATGGAACACTGGGGTCAACAGCTTTTAAGAGATAAGCAAGGACACATTGTCTCCTTGATGGAGAAAGAGACAACATGCTCAGAGAAGATAATCAGGAGAGAGTGAGGTCATGGTAGCCAAAGGAGTAGAGAACTTCTAGAAGGGAAGGAGGAATAAATCATGTCAGGTGCTTATAGAGGTTGAATAAGGTAAGTATGGTCTAGTATTCATTGCACCAGCCATTAGAAATTTGTGGATTGTTTGGAAGAAAATAATGGGTGGCTGGTGAGACCAGATGCCAGATCTCAAATCTTTACCCACTACATTGACTGGTGAGACAGTAGAGATAGCAAAGGAAGATTCTTCTTTTATCAAGAAAGTTAGCTTTAAAGGAAAGCAGAGTAGATGAAAACATAGAAAAGGTTTTTAAAAGAAATAGCTGAGAGAAGTAGATTCAGGTAAGTGTTCAGGAAGAAGGGCAGGAATTCAGAGATGCCCTCCCTAAGAGGTTCTGCCTTCACATGGTAAGCCTTGAAGTGGCAGCTGGAGGACTGAAAGAATTGCCACTGACAGGAGTTGGCCAGGCATCCGTTGTGTGTGAACAGCATCAAGAACTCAGCTCAATATTAAGACCATGAATTTATTGTCAAGGCTACCTTCACGTTCCTGTACTTTTATGCTAGCATGTTTATGCAGTCTAGCTGTGGGAGGGAAGATGCATGGTCAGATCTACCCAGAGATTGGATTTTATATAATAGACAAACAGCATGTGCAGAGATCCTGTGGTATCCAGATTGGATTTTATATAATAGACAAACAGTAGAATAAAGTGGCTATAATTTGGATATGGTTTGCAGGCTCTAGGATCTAGTTCCACAAGTAAGATATTAAAATACTTAGCAGGCATTTGACCATCTTGTCCACTGATGTGCCATCACCATGTATCCTGAGTATCTGGAGCCACTCCTGGTACTACTATGTGCTCAATGAATGTTTTCCAGTGAATCATTTTTCCAGAGCTCCAAAGCTTGGCCTTGGTCTGCCTTTACTACGTAACTAGTAGCTATGAGATTATGGATACATGATTTTACACTTTGGTTTCTTCCTGTGTAAAATAAGAACTTTTCAAATGTTAATGAAGCATTAGAATTACATTTGGAACATGGTAATTCCAGATAAACATTAACTGCTGTTAAATATTTTGCTTTCATTCTCTTACCACTCATTCTTGTATAGTCTAACTTTGCCGGAAACAGTGTTTGACACATAATAAACATTCAGTAAATATCTATTGAGTGAACAGAAGGCTTTGTTTTTACTATGATATATTTAGCAGATGTTAGTGTCAGTCAAGTGAGAGGCTAGAAGCCTGGTGATTTAAAATATTGCTTTTTGCCTTAGAGAGTTTCAGAATGTGGTTTATGAGAGACATTAACCAAATAAGCCAATAAATGGAAAATGAAGCCAGGTACCTTTGCGCACACCTGTAATCCCAGTGGCTTTGGAGGCTGAGGCAGGAGAATCCTGAGTTCAAAGCCAGCCTCAGCAAAAGCGAGGTGCTAAGCAACTCAGTAAGACCCTGTCTCTAAATAAAATACAAAATAGGGCTGGGAATGTGACCCAGTGGTCAAGTGCCCCCAAGTTCACTCCCCAGTACAAAAAAATATATAAATAAATAAAATAAAATGAAACCTGGAAAATTTTATGGAGGATTGTAATACAATACTGTGAGAGCCTTTGCTAGAGGACCTTACCAGGGAGAAAAAGTAAGAGTTCACTGAAGAAATGATGTTTAAAGCAGGTGGAGAGGGGACTGCATGTGTAGAAGTCCTATAGTGTCCAGAGTGGCTGAGGTGGAGTAGTGGGAGTGTGGTCTGAAACCAGGGTTAGGAAGGTGAATGGAGTCAGACCATATTAAGATTGAAAAAATTTTAAAAAAATGGAAAAAATATTGGCAAAGTAGATGCTGCTAGACCAATTAGGAGACTGCTATATCAGTTCCAACAAGAGGTGGTAATTATGTAGACTAGGGACAGGTGATGGTGATGGTGATGGTGAAGGGAAAAGTGTTAGGCTTCTGAGGCATTTGGAAAATAGTATTGATGGGTAGGGTTGAAGAACAGGAAGCTTATGAATTTTGATTTTAAAAAAATAGTTGAACAAGGCCCTGGGTTCAATCCCCAGCACACCCCCCCACACACACACACACACAAAGAGTAGTTGAGAAAAGTAGATGCAGGTAAGTGTTCAGGAAGGAGGGCAGGAGTTCAGAGATGCCCTCCCTGGAAGTCCTGCCCTCACATGGTAAGTCTTGAAGTGGCAGATAGGGGACTGCAAAGATTGCCAAACACTTTGGCTGTGTTTGATCTACCTTGAAGACATCCAAAAAGAATTAACAGTTGGGCTGGGGATGTGGCTTAAGCGGTAGCGCGCTCACCTGGCATGCGTGCAGCCCGGGTTCGATCCTCAGCACCACATACAAACAAAGATGTTGTGTCCACCGAAAACTAAAAAATAAATATTAAAAAAATCCTCTCTCTCTCTCTCTCTCTCTCTCTCTCTACTTAAAAAAAAAAAAAAGAGTTAACAGTTAACAATTGGATGTACAAGCATGGAGCTCAGAAAAGACCAAGTTAGAGTTGGTGGTTATTTGAAGGGATATGTGTGAACAAAATCTTGAGCAAGAATATGGCAGGATAAGAGGAAAGGGCCTGGAATTGAGTCTTGAATAGTAATGTTTCATGGTTGCAGAGAGGAAGTTAAACCTCCAAGGGAAACAGAGGAAGGGACCATCACAGTTCACAGAAGGCAGGAAAGGGAGCAGCCCACTGTGGAGGCTGCTAGGAGGGCAAGTGAGAGTAGTCTTGGGGTTGGGAGAGAGTAGGTCTTGGGAGACCTTTCTGAACAGCTGTGTGGGGACTGATGCAGGTGAAAGGGGAGGCAGTGAGAGCATGAGCCTGTGGCCAACTCTACAGGGTGTTCACTTCACCAGGTCTAACAGGGCAGAGAACCATAACCAAGTTCAGGTTACAATTTCATCATGCAAAGTATTTAACCAAATGTATCTTTCTTTATGCATTCCAAGGATCTACCGATTTTGGAAATGTTTCTTTTGTGGTCCCTGGAATTCATCCATATTTTTACATTGGATCCAACGCCTTGAATCATACTGAAGAGTACACTAAAGCTGCAGGTAGGCTGTTGAGAGTGCAGGTTTTCACATGTGCTCACTCTTTTCCTAGCAGTAGTGCCTTTCTAACTATTTAGTTTAGCTTGTTATTTCAGAAATAGATTCCTTGGTGGGTAGTTGGAGAGGCAACTTAGGGATTGGGACTTAACCTGAGGAATTGATAAGTTGATTTTTAATAAACATAGAAATATTTTAATTCATTTTCTCTGTCCTTTAGGATCACAAGAAGCTCAGTTCTACACTTTGCGAACAGCCAAGGCTCTAGCAATGACTGCATTGGATGTTATTTTTAAACCAGAATTGCTGGAAAGAATTAGAGAGGACTTTAAATTAAAACTTCAGGAAGAACAATTTTTAAATACAGTAGAATAAAAAGGAGACTTAGGAGTGGTTTATGAATCATTAAGAAGTGATGATTTTTTTTCTTTAATCTTTTTTAATGAAGAGAACATGCTTGTTTTTAATCTTAAAGGAATCAAATTCTCCTTACCTGATATGTAAGAACAGGGTATGGTGAAAACATATTCACTCATATCTAAAATGAAATTTTTGGGTGAATCTATACTTGATGGAATTGTGATATTTCAGGAGTTGATAGGTGATACTGCTGCTTAAGATGGATGGTACATGATGTGTCAAAATAATATTGACAAAATCTGTATAATAATTTACAGATTTATATATTATATATTTTAAAAGGTCCAAGAGGTTTTAAACCTTATATACAGAATTGACACCCACGAAATGGTTTTGTGGTACAGAGTAGTAAACTTATTTAATGTAGTTTTAAAGTTCATGGTCTAAATTTAGGTAAAGTTTGTTTCAAATATTTCTGTTTTTGCTTCAAAAAATCTCTTCATTTATAATAAAAGTAGCTTTTAATTAGAAATGCTTACGGGTAACAACTAGAAACTCAGATACAAAGAATAACTTTAGTTTTACCATTTGAAGAAAAATGAGAAGAATGTTCTAGTTTTTACACATGATCAACTCTGGGAAGTGGCATTAAAGTAATTGGTAATTCAATATTACAGTAAGAGGGTAAATGTTGGATGGTCAGGATCGGACTCTTCCTTTAAGGCATTTGCATGGTAGCCCTGAGTGTTCTAGGAGAACTCCGGGAGGAGCATTGGCTGGCACCTACTCTGCTCTCTGGAATGTTCAGAATCCTGCACTGCCCCTCCAGCCAGCAGCCTGCTCAGGCTCCCACTCAGAAGCCAGCTTGCCCCACCTGGCTGCACTGAATTTTGAGCCTCCTTAAGCCTCCTGCTAGCCCAATATTTTTAAAAAATTATTACAGGTTTTCCATGATTCTTATTTTAGTGTGAATTTCTTGAACATGCTAAAAAGAATGTGTGAAAAAAATATTTGGTAAAACAGATATTTTAAGCTGTGAATGCAGTAAAGCTCCAATGTACTTTATTTTAAAGGAAGTCCTCAGCTTTGAACAAGCATTCCAGAAATGGAAGGGGAAGGAGAGAAAGTGTCCATTTGGCTTTTATGGTATAATAAGCAAGTCACTTGGGCCCTCTGAGCTATCAACTCACTTTTTGAAAAGTTAGATCTTCTACTTACAGTCTTTTGAACCCCTAATTCCTGCTGTAATTATTTAAAATTGCAAGAGAGGTGGTTGTGTTTGGGAGAGTTAGTAGTTGAGAACTGCCTTTCTTCTGTATAAGAGTCTGTGGGTTATGTGCCTGATTTTGGCATGTAGCTGCCTTCTTTTTTTTAAAACCTGCCAAGAATGGGTTTATGTTTTTTAAAGGGTTGCTAAACAAAACAAAACAGAGACTAAATAATATGACCTGCAAAACCTAACATCTTTGCTGTCTGGCCTTTTACAAAAAAGGTTGCCAGCCCTGGCTGTATATAACAGTAAAATAAAATCTGTGTCTCTTTGACTTAGGTCATATGGTCGGATCTTCTGGAATAAAACTTCATAAAGAAACCCCATATCTTTTAGCAATGACTTCTAATGCTGTGATTAGAAATAATTTCTTTCTTAACCCTCACACTTCAAAGGTATTTTCATAAACCTTTACTTAACTGAAATTACCATTGGTTGGTTTTTACAACATCAAATTTCTAAATATTTTAAAATGTAAAGAGAGAAGTGTTAACTTATATCTAAACAAAGTGTTCCTTTTAGAAAAGGAAAGATTCTGTTCATCTCCTCCTCCTTTTTTTTTTTTTTTTTTTTTTTGAGACCAGGACTCACTAACCTTGAACTTTTAGTTCTCTTGCCTCAGCCTCCCAAGTAGCTGGGTTTGAGGCATGTATCATAGCACCTAGCTTTACCTCTTTATTCTTACAAGATGAATGTTAATTCTTAGGTGGTTAGCAAATAAGACTCATTTTTTTTTTAAAGACTGAGAGGGAGAGAGAGAGAGAGAGAGAGAGAGAGAGAGAATTTTAATATTTATTTTTTAGTTCTCGGCGGACACAACATCTTTGTATGTGGTGCTGAGGATTGAACCCGGGCCGCACGCATGCCAGGCGAGCGCGCTACCACTTGAGCCACATCCTCAGCCCAAGACTCATTTTTTTAAAAAAATATTTTGTGGTTGTAGACGGACACAATACCTTTATTTATTTATCTTTATGTGGTGCTGAGGATCGAACCCAGTGCCTCACCCATGCTAGGCAAATGCTCTACACTGAGTCACAACCCCAGCCCAAGACTCTTTTATTTAGAATATTTATATTGTTTTTGAAGAATGAGATAACCAAGTTTTTGTTCATTAGTTTCATGACATTTTATTATCACTAACACATTCTGTGATTATATATAGTTTTCCTTCACTGCCTATATATTTGAAGCTGGTGTGTGCATATTTTAAATTTTATTTTATTTTGATACTGGGAATTAAACCCAGAGGTACTCTACCTTTGAGCTATATCCCTAGCCCCTGCCCCCTCTTTTTTTATACCAAGGATTGATCCCAGGGCCAATTAATCACTAAGCCACATCCTCATCCCTTTTTATTTTTTGAATTTGAGACAAGACTTGCTAACTTGCTGAGGCTGACCTCGAACTTGTGATTCTCCTCCCTCAGCCACTGGAGTATTTAGGATTACAGACATGTGTCACCGTGCTTGGATTGTTTTAAAATTCTTAACAGTATCTAGCATAGTAGTTTACCTGGGAATATTCAGTACTTTTTGTTTTGTTTTGATTGGAGTACTGGTGGTTGAACCCAGAGGCACCCTACCACTGAACTACATCCCCATACCTTTTTAATTTTCAAATGGGGTATCTTTAATTTGCTCAGGCTTCCCTTAAACATGATTCTCCTGCCTTCTGTCCTTTTTGAATGAGAAAATACTGCATCCTTGCTTGAAATCATTAAAGTTTAAAATAGCTCTGTGGAGAGATCATAGGTACAAAATATGTTTTAATTTTGTGAACATAGCAATCTTTTGTACAATCTGGAGTAGAAATAGATACCTTATATTACTTTGCTTCAGATACAGGAAAACGAGATTCATTTTTGAAAAAGCTGCACTGGTTTAATGCAAAGTTTAAAATTATAAGATTTTAAAGAATTAGTTTCTGATCTAAAATTAGTTTCTTGAGGTGTCTGTTTTATGGAAAGGTCTTTTATTGCATGCATTTATAATCTTTCATGCTCATACCCTACACTTTAAGCTTTTCCCTCAAATACCAACTTTGGGCTGTGTTAAATTAGTATGCTTTAAAAGATGTAATGTAAATTAATGGTTTAAATATAATTACAAACTGAAGATGCTTTTGCTATAGTGACAGTTTTAAGCAGGCTTGAATATGGGACCCTGTAAAACAATTATGTGTTATAGGCTGAATATCTCTTATCTGAAATGCTTGGGGGCCAGAAGTGGTATTTTGTTTTTTTGTTTTTGTTTGGTACCAAAGATGCTTAGCCAGTGAGCCACATTTTCAGCCGTTTTTTATTTTTTATTTCGAGACAAGGTCTTGCTAAGTTGCTTAAGGTGTCTCTAAATTGAAGAGGTTGACCTTGAACTTGTGATCTTCCTGCCTCTGTCTCCTAAATCACTGGGATTACAGGTGTGTGCCACCACACCCAGCCAGAAGTGTTTTGGATTTGGGAGTTTATTTGGATTTTGAAATATTACATATCCATAATAAGATATCTTGGGGGATGCCACCCAAGTTTAACCACAGAATTTCTTCATGTTTGCATATATATACATACACACACACACACACACACACTTGGGCCAAAGATAATTTTATAGAGTATTTTTAGTGTGCCTGCATTTTGACTGCAACCTGTCACATGAAGTCAAGTGTGAAATTTTTCACTTGTACAATGTTGGCATTCAGAAAGTTTGGGATTTTGGATCATTTTGGGTTTTCAGATTAGGGATATTCAACCTGTTTTATTAATTACCAAGTTGCTATATAAGATTGAATGCAGTTAGTATTTAGCTTGTCTCTTAAAATTTTGGGCTGCTTTTTAGTCTTGCAAATTCTCCTTATTTGAACCACTCAGGACATTTTCCTCTTTTCATTGCTTCCCTCTGTAGCACTCAGAAGTGCTGGGGCATTTTGGATAAACTAGAACATTTTGTATGTTTATAAATATGTATGTGAACTTAAAGCATTTTGATTTTCCACAAAGTTATTTTCTTTGATATTTTAGCTTGTAATCTTGACATTTGAGCTCAATAAACATTTGTTGAAGAGTGCCTATTTCTAAGAACTTGGTGAAAGAATAAGACAAAGTCTCTGCTCAGAAAGCTTGCTGTTGGTGGCAAATTCTCACTTCTTAATTCTTTCTTCATCTGAACAACACTGGGGCTGAAGCAACAACTGAAAGCTATTGTCTTGGAATTTTTTGAAAAAGTGTTTCTAAAATATTTTAAAATATCTGAGTTTCCCCAATCTGTTTGAACAGAAGAAATTGATGTGCAAAAATTTTTTTAAAAAAAGGAACGAATGTCTTGTTTGATAATATATTCTGTAAAAAAAAAATATTAAAACCTTTCTGATAGTTTTTGTGCAGTTCTAACTTTTTACCTTAAGAAGTCTTTTGGTAAATGTCCTACATACACCAGCCTTCGCATTGTCAAAATGAATTTTCATTATAAGATAAATGTTGTCTTGGTGCTGTCTAGCAATTTTTGTAAGGCTGCAAGCTATGACAAAATACTTTTTTTTTTTTTTTACTTCAAGCATCTTGTAGTACAATTATGGTTGAGGGTGGTGCATTTTGATGTGTGAAGTTGAAATTTTCAAGTAAGCAATCACTCTACTACCATCAGATTATGATAATTTTTGTAATATTTTAATATATATTAAAATGTGTATGAAATATAAAATGTTAAGTATGTTTAATAACACTTGTTATTTTTAAAATGATGTATATGAAAATACATGAAGATAAAGCACAATTACCCAAATGCACTATGGTAATACTGTATTTTATTAATTTATCAGTATTGTAGGTGTTAGGTTGCCTTTCAGCTGTATAAATGCCACATATTATTCATGTAATGCGATTTTAAAAGGACAGTTAAATCTTTTGTTTAAAAATGAATGTTTTACTAGTCTCAGCAGCTGAAAAATGATAATTTTACCTGGTAGGAATTGAATACACAGGAATTAGAATTTGAATTTCCATTTTTAAAAAATTCCACCATGTAATAATGCAAATGCAATAGAACAGATTATTAGATTGTTATCAGTAGCTAGAGAATAAGTATCTCATGTGAGTAACATAATATGGGTCCAAATTTATTTGTTTAAGTTGGCTTTTAAAAGAGTTCATACTTTTTTCCTTCAGTGATTAAAATGTAAGGTTAGTTTTGGTTAGTTAGTTTGGGTCAAAGCATCCAATAACCTTAGAAATATAGAATGAAAAGAATCTAGATCAGAGTCCTAAATGGACAAGCATCTGTTTAGTTTAAAAATCAGGTAGACATTGCCCCACTGGATGAACAATTTCATGATGTCTATGTGTCTTCCTTTCTTGCAGTGTGGATCTGAGATGTTACAATTTCTTCCCTATATTCTTGTAGTACCCCTGCAGATTGTGTATACCTCACTTTGATGTTGGGCTTCCAGATCCTGCCAGTGTCCCTCAGTGTGTGCTATTGCATCTAAGGTTGGTGGCAATAGCAGAGGTAACTCGAGATAATAGTTAAGGTACCCCAAGATGGAAGCAATGTCTTACAGAGAAGGGGCTGCAAGACTGGGCCTCACACTCCCTTTGGGATGCCTGCTCTGAGATGCAGCTGCTTTTAGGCCCTGTCTGTTCTCAAAAAGTTAGCGGCTACTGTGTGGGGAAGGCTATGGATGACTGCAGTGTCCCAAGATGGAAGTAGGTTAGGCTTAGGCTCCCAGGTGTTGGGGGTGGGGAACTTGGACCTACCCTAGGCCTGGGTGGGTCCTGCGCAAGTCAGTGTGGACAGATCTGGGCCTGCCTGACTCCACAGTAGTCTGCTGGTCCTAAGGGGTGGTCCTGCACCAGAGTCTAGGCTCTGGCGACTGACTGACCTGCCGGTGGAGGGGTGGACCAGGGCCTACTATTAGCCTGGGTCCTGCTTGGGCTGGTGTGGGCGGTCCCCACCTATGGGTTTTTATTTTTTTATTATTTGAGAGGGAGAGAATTTTAATTGCCGCAGTCTGGCTGGGCACAATCAGGAGCCACTTGTCAAAAGAAACTAACTTTATTTTTAGAACCACACACGCCAAACAAAACAGCCTCTCAGGAAAAACCCTCAGAGCCTCAACTGCCACCACCGGCTTTCCACAAGCCTCTCTCTCCCACCCAAGCTTCTCTCCACCTCCCACAATCCTCCTGCTCTTGAGGCCGATTGGCTGGGTCACGTGGGCGGAGCCAAAAAAGTCCCCCAATGAGCAGCTCCGTGGTCTGAAAGGGCAGGGAAACAGTCCAATGAGCATCACCGCAGAGGAGCCAATCAGCTAGATGTTGCTGGGGCCGAGGAGCCAATCAGCTAGATGTTGCTGGGGCCGCTGTGAGCCAATCATCAGCCGGCAGCTGGAAGTTTGCTGGCAGCTGGAAGTTTGCTGGGGCCCCTTCGGCTGTGGCTCTCAACATCTCCCCCTCTCTGTTTAAACAACAAGCATGTGGCTTAGGGACCGTGTCTGTTAGGCAGTCCAATTCAACATATGGTCCTTACCCGTCATCGGATGAACTGACCTCTAGTCGTCAGCCTCCTGTCTTAGGTTGGTACCACTGCAATTGGATCATACCCGTCACTGACTACCGGTCCAGCATACAGCTATACTTGTGGATAGGCCTTTGCACCAGTGGGGGGTGAGGTTCTTTGCCTCACCTCTGTTGGCCCCCAAATTTTAGACCATCACTAGTAGAGGAGGATGCAAAATGCCATGACATTAAGCCAATTGAGGGCTCCTTTGAAAAATTGTACCACCGGTGACATCATCAGCAAAAATACCCCAACATTACCACAAGTCGCTGCACCAACAGATAGTTCACAATGCATACAGGTGAGCTCACAATGTGTCCAGGCAAGTTCTGCAAGCAGTTCAGTGATGGCTATTGTAGAAGCTGTAGATTGGTTTTATCTTTGACTTCACCAGCACTGGGATGAAGATAGGAATTCTGGCAATAATGGCTAAAGAAAAAATTATGTAACATTACAGAAGGCACTAAAAGAAAACAATTTTCTTAACAATTTACATTGTCTTCACCGGCACTGGGATGAAGATAGGAATTCTGGCAATAATGGCTAAAGAAAAAATTATGTAACATTACAGAAGGCACTAAAAGAAAACAATTTTCTTAACAATTTACACTGTCTTCACCGGCACTGGGATGAAGATAGGAATTCTGGCAATAATGGCTAAAGAAAAAATTATGTAACATTACAGAAGGCACTAAAAGAAAACAATTTTCTTAACAATTTACATTATCTTTAAGAGAATTATTAAATATAATGAAAAGGAAAGGTGAAAGTAAACAAACAGATCTGTTAACCTTCTTTTTTGTTTACATATTAAAACAATCCTCAACAGTTGTTTACCCAATTTAAATTAAACCATATAAATCACGTGAAAAAAAATATTTGGATCCATTTTATCATGAGCGCTCATCATATATGATATATGGATATACATACATTCAAACATATAACACAAAACACAAGTGTGCACACATAATATAATACATACAACACATAACATTATAGTAAAGGCCTTATAACTTTTTACAGGTGAAATCTCCATTGCAATGTTTAAAAACTCTATAGTCAAAAAATAGAACTGATCAGCAAAACATTAACCTAGGTCTGTATGAGCTCAAAAAACAAAATAGAACTTCATGATATGTAATAAAATAGGTATTGAAAAAAGCATCCTGATTCTGTTGCAGATGTAAGAATAGCCAAACTGGAGTTTTGGATATCAGTTGTTATGGATTTGAGCCAAATCATCTTCTTTTTGGTCTGTAGAAATCGCTTTAGTTAATCTTTCTGGAATCCAAATCGGCTGCTGTTCTCCCTGTGGAAACACATAAACAGACCCCCGACTCCAGACAATCACTGGGTCAGGACCTTGGTTAATCTCTCTGGAATCCAAATCGGCTGCTGTTCTCCCTGTGGAAACACACAAACAGACCCCCGACTCCAGACAATCACTGGGTCAGGACCTTTCCATTGTCCTGTTAGAATATCCTTCCAAAGTACCTTGGGCTTATGCACATTTTTTGGACACATATGCCTTTCCGCAGCACTAAGTCCTGATGAATCCAAATTTAAAAAGTTTAGAGTAAAAAGGGTTATTTTAAGTTTATCTTTGGGGAATATATACCCCTTCCCAATTCCTTCTTTTTGCTTTAATAAGTACATTTTAATAGTTTGATGAGCTCTTTCAACTATGCCTTGTCCCTGTGGATTGTATGGAATTCCTGTTATATGAGTAATGCCAAATGTTGAGCAAAATTGTTTAAAAGAGGTAGAAGTATAACCAGGGGCATTATCTGTTTTTAACTGTTTTGGAACACCCACAGTGGCAAAATTTTGTAAGCAATGAGCTATAACATCTTTAGTTTTTTCTCCGGCATGAAGGGAGCCCATCAAAAATCCAGAAGAAGTATCAACTGTAACATGCAAATATTTTAATTTTCCAAATTCTGGCAAGTGTGTGACGTCCATCTGCCAAATATGGTTAGGTATCAATCCTCTAGGATTGACTCCAAGATTAACTTGTGGTAAAAAGGTCACACAATTTTGACATTGTTTTATTATTTGTCTAGCTTGTTCCTTAGTTATTTTAAAACGCTTTTGTAAAGTATTAGCATTGACATGGAACTTTGTATGAAAATTTATAGCTTCTTCTAGTGTAGAGAAAATATGTATGTCATGTGTAGTTTTATCTGCTAAATCATTGCCCAAACTAAGGGCTCCAGGCAATCCTGTATGTGCCCTGATATGTCCTATAAAGAATGGATCTTTTCTGTCCCAGATTAGACTTTGTATAGTGGAAAGCAAAGAGAAAACAGTAGAAGAAGGGGAAATCCTACCAGCATCTTCAAGAGATACTATAGCATTAACTACATACTGACTATCAGAAAATAAATTAAATACAGAATCTTTAAACATCACAAAAGCTTGTAAAACTGCATTAAGCTCTACCTTTTGAGCTGATTGTTTGGGTACTAAAAATGTAAAAGTTTGATCAGGGGTAACTACTGCTGCTGTACCATTATTTGACCCATCAGTGAATATATTTGGAGCATTCATGATAGGTGTTTTTCTTGTCATTTTTGGAAAAATTACAGGATGCAATGACCAAAAAGACAATAAAGGATTAGATGGTAAGTGGTTATCAAATGAAACATTAGATTTGCACATGATTATTGCCCAAGTATTTAACTCATTAGCTAACTCATCAATTTGATTCATAGTATATGGAGTAATAATTTTATTGGGAGAAATTCCAAACACTCCCTTTGCTGCTTTTATTCCTTTGAGTATTAATTGTCCTACAGCCTCAGGATACCTAGTAAGAATAGTGTTAGGAGAATAAGATAAATGTATCCATAATAATGGACCTTCTTGCCAAAATACTCCTGTAGGAATATTTTTTGTTGGTAGTACAATAAATAATAAAGGCAAACTTATATCAATTCTATCCAAATGCATATTTTCCATATATGTTTCAATGATTTTTAATGCCTTTCTTGCTTCAGGCGTTAACATTCGGGGTGAATTTGGATCTGATGGACCTTTTAGGATATCAAATAAAGGTCCCAACTCTCCTGTTGGTATACCTAAATAAGGCCTTATCCAATTTATGTCTCCTAATAACTTTTGAAAGTCATTAAGTGATTTGAGTTGATCTACTCGTATTTGAATTTTTGGTGGACGGACCATGGTTGAGGATAATAGAACTCCTAAATAATTAATTGGAAAATTTAA